ACTGAGGTGCCACTGGAAGCGACCCATGAAGAGAGCGAATCAGCAGTGGTGGAAGAACCACCAATACACCGGATCCGAGCCAATCATAAAACTTGCCGGGCATGGGTAAAAGCAGGAATCCTAGAGGAACAGACGGAGGAAGTCTGGTGCGCCGCAGGATTCACTTACTCCCAGCAGCTAGCAGAGGAAGCCAACTGAGACAAACCTGTGAAAACCTTTGAAGAAATGGTCCCTGAGCAGTACCGTGATTTCAAGAAGGTTTTCTCAGAATCCGCCTCTGAACGATTACCTGCCCACCAACCTTGGGACCATGCGATTGATCTCGTACCTGGAGCACCGGCAACCATGCGTACCAAGATTTATCCCATGTCCCTAAACGAGCAGGAGGAGTTGGATCGTTTCCTAGAAGAAAACCTACGGAAAGGCTATATCGTCCCCTCAAAATCACCAATCTCATCACCGGTCTTCTTCGTAAAGAAGAAGGATGGGAAACTCTGTTTCGTACAAGACTACCGGAAACTGAACGAGTACACTGTGAAGAACCGATACCCTCTCCCATTAGTTGCTGACATCATTAGTCGACTTCAGGGAGCAAGATACTTCACGAAGTTTGACGTTCGCTGGGGCTACAATAACATATGGATTAAGAAGGGGCATGAATGGAAAGGCGCGTTCGCAACAACCCGAGGCTTGTTTGAGCCTAAGGTTATGTTCTTTGGTCTCACGAATTCCCCTGCCACATTCCAACCACTTATGAACGCTATATTTGCTGATCTCATTGCAGCCAGCAAGGTGGCAGTCTACCTAGATGACATCCTTATCTTCAGTAACGACCTCGAGGAACACCAACGAGTAGTACGTGAAGTATTAACTCGGTTAGAAAAGCACGACCTCTATCTACGACCCGAAAAATGCAAATTCGAACAACAACAGATTGAATACCTTGGACTCATCATCTCAGAAGGGGAGGTGAGAATGGATCTGGTAAAAGTAGCGGCTGTTCGTGACTGGCCAGTCCCTACTAACCTTCGGGGACTATGAGGGTTCTTGGGATTTGCAAACTTCTACCGACGCTTTATCCGGAACTTTGCCAAAATAGCATGACCTCTGAATGACCTGACCAAGAAAGACACCAGCTTTACCTGGACCGACACTCAACAGAAAGCATTTGACACCCTTCGAGAAGCCTTCATCTCCGCACCAATCCTTGCTCTATGGACACCAGACAGGCCTACTCGAATCGAGGTAGACGCATCAGGCTTTGCCACAGGAGGCGCCCTTATGCAGAAGCAAGACGATGGCCAGTGGCATCCGGTAGCCTTCAGATTGGCATCCATGCAGCCAGCGGAATGAAACTACGAAATCTACGATCGAGAGATGCTTGCCATCATTGAAGCACTGAAGGATTGGAGGAACTTTCTAGAAGGACTCCCCCAACCGTTTGACATCATTACGGACCATTCGAACCTTGAATTCTGGCGCACTGCACAAGATCTTACCCGCCGACAAGCCCGATGGGCCCTCTATCTGTCACCGTTTGACTTTCATATGATCCACCATCCTGGCAGAGTAAACACCCAAGCTGATGCCCTCTCCCGCATGGCAGTTCATCATGTATTGGACAGCGACGATAACCGACAACAGATAGTCCTTAAACCTGGCCATTTCGTAAAAATTGCAGCTTCAATCCTATGGAACCCCTTAGAGGATCATATCCGAAAAGCCTCAGAACGGGAAACACAGGTATTGGAAGGTCTCAAAACAGTCAAAGAGCACGGACTACAGCGCTTGGCCAATGGGATAGCTGAATGGGAAGAGGACAATGGGTTGGTCTACTACCGAGGTCGAGTATATGTACCAGCAAACGACGACCTACGCACTGAGGTACTCCGTCAATGCCATGACCATCCAACTGCAGGACACCCCGGACTACACGGGACACTCAACTTGGTCAGTACCCATTTCTGGTGGCCAACGCTGCGCTCTTTTGTGGAGAAATATGTTGAGGGATGCGAGGTTTGTGCCCGTAAGAAGATCCAACGACACCCACGGGCCGTAACTCAACCATTAGATGTACCATCCGGTCTATGGGAAGAGGTAGGGGTTGACCTGATAACACAGCTACCTAGGAAAGAAACAACAGAAGGAGGGATACGAACGCGGGAAGCGGAAAGCTCATCAATTTAAAGTTGGAGACCTAGTCTGGCTCAGTGCAGAGGACATTAACCTTCAGCTTTCCAGTGAAAAGTTGGGAGATCGGCAGCTTGGCCCGTATCACATTCTGGAGAAAATTGGCCCTTTAGACTACCGCCTTGACCTCCCCCTATCCCTAGATCACCTTCACCCCGTCTTCCATGTTGATAAACTATATCCCTGGAAGGGTAACTCCATTAACGGCGAAATACCAACACCACCAGAGCCGGTATACTTAGAGGATGAAGATGAACTGGAATACGAAGTAGAGGAGATCTTAGACAGTCAGGTTCGATGGAAGAAGTTGGAATATTTGGTTAAGTGGAAAGGTTACGACGCAGGGCACAACTCTTGGGAACCCGCAGCCAACCTCAGTCGGGCCCCAAAAATTGTTCAGGCCTTTCATAAAAAACACCCAACAGCGGCAAAACCTTGACCATCGAGGGCAATGGTCATAAGGAGGGGGGTAATGTCATAAAGTACGCAGCCCCTATCATTTTCCTTTTCTCACGGTCTCAATGCCTTTACTTGTACGATACATCATCCCATCACTGTCAAACCCCCATCGATTACTGATCCACCTGACCCATCTTCTCTTTCTACCGGCTTCCGCCACCTTCCTTGCCCTTGAACTGTACAGTATTACATCGTTGTTTCTCGCAGACCGGATTATGTATATATAGCCAACCCTCCACAGCCTGGTCCCTTATCTTGACCTCTCTGTCATTATCTGGGACCAGGTATGTGCTTACTTACTACTACCTATGACTACGATACTCAATATATCTCTGTCATTATCTGGGACCAGTTTGCCTCCGCTCCGCTTAGTTGCTCTGCCTCACTGACCTGCTTAGTCGCTCCGCCTCACTGCCTTGCTTAGTCACTCCGCTTTCCTGCTCTGCTAGTCACTACGCCTCTGCCGCTTCGTGACAGCGTATGCCATCAGACAATCCCTTATCAATACAGCCTCATGGGCTCCGCACTTCATGCCATCCCCATTAGATGCTCGTTTATTACAATGTCTCTTTACCTATTCATCCCACCTATATAAGTATCCTCGGTAACATAAATGTCCCCAGCTTGGTATATTTTGAACACACACCCTTTTGCATAGGTCCAGTCCCTGTCCCTCTGTACCTGCTAACCATACAGATTTCTCTGTACTCTCAGTTTCTTTATCTCTGTTTCTCTACTACTATCTCATCTCTATGGTCATCTAAATAATCCAATCGACATTTTTACCTCACGTCTAAGCAATCTGAGTGAGTTTTCGAGCTCCCTCGACCAGTACTAAAGCTCCCCAACGTCTATCGTTTTGGTGAGCCAACCTCCCCCAAACCTCCTCAAGCTCCCCAAGTGCTCCACAAGCTCAGGGACCTTGATCTAGGTAACGTCGAACTACGTACCACTTCTCCATTACTACCTCCAATGCTCCAGGACATCCGCCTCTACCCCCACTTCCCCGGGACCTCCCTCCCAGGCTTACACTCTATCGGGAGCTCTTACGTTCAGAACCCACTTCAGCTATGATTTATAATGATCCTGTGTTGTCATCCCTATTTACTACAACTCGTATGACATAACCATCTGACATTCACTAGCTCCTCGTAACCTTTATCCCTGTTAACATCCTAGGGACCCCCCAGGACCTCCTAGGAACCTCGTTGAAGGTCAACCCTTTCAATCCGAACTACTCGTAGATCATTCCTGTCCTCGGTCGCAGTTCCCGTAGCTCCCTTTGAGCTCCAGCTTGCTCCTAGCACGCTACAACATAAATCTGTTATACCAAACCCTACCCTAAGACCCATTCCGACCCAGGTCCTACAGGAGCAGGAGGAAGAGGACGAGAAGTGGTATAATGGTTTGTAGGTACACAGTGATGCCAAGTTTCGGAAGCTGATTAAGGAATCATATGGAGAGAAGGAAAAGATTGAAGCAATGGGATCGTAGAGCTATGATGAATCTGGGAAAGAATGGGAGGGGAAGAAAAATTGATCAGATGTTCCGGTCCTTGTCCAGTAGACATGCGATCCCGAACTGGAACATGCATATATGCAACCAAATGTTGAATTTGGCAGAGAGGTGCGGAGACCGGTGTTTGATATGACATTGATGGAGCACAATCGCAATGGACAGGGTCTGTCAGATCCATCGGTGACCCGGTTGCGTCAGTATACATCCACGGCGGCAAGTTTTCACGAATTGGTCATGTTAAGCGAGAACAAATGCGTCACTCCAAAGATTTGAGCTAAAAGTTTGGTTCTATACGTTCGATGTATAGAGTAAAGTATAGAGTAAAAGACCTAAAGGGAAAGACCCATAACCTCTTAGAGGTCGAGTATCCTATACGATGAACAAAATGAGCCAGAACCTCAGTGTGGAACCAAAATGGTGTAAACAGCTGAGATTAGTACCTATACGATGAACGAAACAAGCCAGAACTACGTAGCTGGTAAGGATCAATAAGTAGATGTACTAATAGGAAAAACTCACCCTCAGTGTGGAACCAAAATGGTGTAAACAGCTGAGGGCAATGAACGTGCAAAAAAGTCTATAAGAATGAGAAGTCACGTGTATCCGGAATGAATCGTCAATAACAGGGAAAACATCTCCCAACACAAAGCATAGAGAAAATTTCAATATTTTGTCAATACATATGGTAAACATGCAGGTTGAAAGGCCTTCCCTATGCTTAGAAATCTGCACAATGACCAGCTTGAACATATGTGATATGGTTAAATTCAATTAACATTTCAGGCTCACCAGACCTTTCATACTTCTCACCAACAGCCTCTATTTTCATTTTCTCCGTTATCTTCTTCTTCCTCATTGAAAGATCTCCCATCCAATGGAGCACCAATATTCCCCAACATCCGGTTGGAAGCAAAGTCCAATGATGACACATAAGTCTGTTGAACTTGGGACATTCTGGTGTTTCTAGGTTTAGAAAATGTGTGCAAGTTAAGCATCAACCGGCTGATGAGAAGGTTGGGCAATCTGGAAAATGAATCAGAAGGAATTATAATCAACAATGAAAGATTATTTCACATATCAAAGAATGGAGTAATAAAGTCCTCAAAATTCTGTTGTAAATGGTGAGTGTGGTTTGCACTAGTCTAAAACCTTGTGGATACAATAACATACATTAGCATTTCCTGACTTTAATGATACCTGGAAGAAGTCTATCAATATAATGCCCCCAACAACATCAAGAAATTTTTGAAAACTGACCACTTGAAAGATAGTTTCAACTATGGCTACCACAAGCATGAGTCTTAAAATACTCAATATCAGTTTTATTTCTCCACTTAAATGATGGAATAGAACATACAGGAAGTACAAAGTCCCTATTGGGAATCTTGAGCATTATTCTCAGAACAATATATACAAGAATTACCATCACGGATGATTATTTGTGTGATACTAGATTGATTGAGCCTTTGCATTTCCACTGAATGTTTGACAGTCTTTACAGCAGTTGAGACAAAGATGAAAATGTCATATCCCAATGCCAACAATGGAATAGCCAGTTGGACTAGAAAAATCAATGGTCAGAATATTGTTACTTCACTATGGTTAGTTCACACTTCTAGAAGATGCAAAGTCAAATGATTGTAAAAGGCCTGATAGATTGTTGCTTACTGATTGTCTTGATCAGGTGATTCCAAATCACATCTTGAGATGTATTGAAATGGAGACTCAATTGTTGAAACACCAATTGTTAGTACTGTACTCTATACACAAAATGTGTCAATGGACAATGAGATACAAACCACTAATCCTTGCTGGCCCAGTGATGATGAGACTTACCCATATATCAAGTATAAGTCTTGAAATGATGAATGCAGAAGCTATACCAAAAATCACTTTATTTTTACTGTATATTGCATAAACCCTCAAAGCAAAAAGAACTTTGATAGGTGAGTGGGGGTCATTGAGGTAAGATTTTTACCACACCATTGGTTGCAAACAAGGCAATAGTTGAACAAACCGAAAATATCAAGTCTAATGCTTGGCACCTTTTGGTCATAATTAGTACCCAAAGAACCTGTGCTAGGAGAGTCGGAGCTTACTGTTCATCTGTTCCATTTCCAGAAAAATTGGATACTGCTTGGGTCATGACAAACAAAAGCAACATGTATCTGTTGATTAGGAACAGTACTGAAATTCCAGTTTTTCTTGTTTTCCATATTGAGCTGATTTCTGTGGGCCACATCTCGATATGGTCTGCAACACATAGGGCTGAACCAAATAGAATCAAAGGCATAGTTGGCACAGGAGATAAATTGCTCACTGGTAACAGCAGCCTGTGCGTAATTACCCAATACCCTTGTTTGGAAAAATAAAAGTCAAATGATGTTCAAAGAATTTATGAGTAAATACTATCAATAGGTATCATGGGATTCATTTACACAGATTGAACTTGTGGAAGTATATCATCCATTGTGGCGCTCTTGAAAATCTGAATAGGTGGATCCGGAATGATGAGAAATATGGAGAGAGTTAGGACCAGTTCCTAGGTGTAACCCAGATCTGTTTGCGCAGTATTGAGAAACGTGAAACAAGAATTATTGTGTTTTGCAATCACCTCATATGCCCTGCTTTTATAAGTGTGAGATGGTTCAAATTAGAATGGCAGTTGCATTCAGGTTGCAGATAGAAAGATGAATTATCTTGATTTGTTTTGATAATCTTGGCTATTTCTATTCTCTCCTCAACATCTGTCAAAACCCCCCTCAAATTTCAATCTCTCCTTTCCATATCTACATCAATTCCCATGCACTTGGCAGTTTGAACAGTTAGATCCTTGGAACATGATTCATAATGTGATATCTGCCAAACCCTGTTATATACCATAGCTCGAGTCTGCCTAAGGAGACTACCTTATCATAGCACTAAAATGCATTGTCTTTTGTGAAAATCAAATGACCTGAAAAAAACCAGGTTTTGCAATTTTGCTATAAAAATACCCCTGCAAGTTGAAAAAACTCACTTTTTAGTTCCCAGTGGATTCTGAGTCGTGTGTTCTGAAATTTCCACCTGTGGATCAGTTGAAAATAGAAAGGATGAATTGAAGCATCTTTTCTTAATTTACTCTCTCTAACCATCATCCCTCAATCCAACCAACTTCTTCGATATATATACCACATCATTTCTTATGTACTTGGCAGTTTGAACAGTTGGATTGGATTTGGATTCTGGAAACTCTGATGATTTATTTATGGAGCAGCGACTTGCGAGAGAGCTCTGCCTTTTGCAAAACCTGTAACATGTTATGCTTGCCAGAGTGGTGGTGGTGTTGGTGATGGGCATGAGAGTACTCCAGTACAGTACTTATATGAAGTACTAGCATGACTCTGATTCTGGAGTAATAATAATGAAAACAAAGCTCAAAAGTGATATATGATATGATATGTGAATGATTACTGCTTACAGAGTGTTTACGGTGATTATAATCATTTCTTATTCATGTACTTGGCCGTTTGAACAGTTTGAACAGTTGGATTGGATTGGATTGGGTTCTTGGAACTCTGATGATTTTTTCATGGAGTGGTGAGGGAGTCTGCCCTTTGCAAACCCTGTGACACATCACACTTGCCGGAACCGAGTGGTGATGTGCTCTCTAGTACAGTACAATTTGCATCAAGCAAGTGCTTATCAGTTGGTTCAAGAACAGGGACAAACGAGGCAACTGAAGTATGTAACAATTGAAAAATCTATCTGAACAGAACTCAGCAGCAAAGAAAAGAAAAGAACGTTAACCATTGAAAAATCAAGGGATCCTGCACCAGGATGTTGTTGGTTGGGGGAATTGAAGTACAGAGAATTGAAATACATACATACATACTCTGGACTGGTGAGGATAGGATAGGACTGGTGAGTACATATAGACTTGTGAAGATAGGATAGGATAGGATAACATGATGTCAGGACAGAGACAGAGACAAGAGAGAGTGATAATGCATAATGCATAATGTAAGAGGGAGTAGTAAACTCATTTTTGTGATGTCAAACACCATTTACATACTTACTTTATGTTGGTTTGGAGGGAAAAAACTCGGACCCGGATTCGGATTCGGAGTGGGATTCGGAGTTGGAGTTGGAGTGGGTTGTGGTGTTCATTGATACAGCAGGATGTAGAGAAAGGAGATGGGGACGGGGAAGAGGAAGAGTAATGATTAGTGATAGGTGATAGGTGATCGGTGAGTGGTGTATTGTGCCTCTAATACTTGCTCAAGTATTGCATTGTATAGCGGTCCCGTTCTCATTGCGCTCCGATCTTCTCGACGTTGTTGCATTTGTGAATTTGCGGCTCCTTCGCTTCTCTCTCTCGATCTATATCTGTCTTTGCACTCAGCACTGATCCAGTGAACTCTTGTATGGGGTGCATATGATGATGGCTGGTGCTGCTGCTATCGCGTTCTCTAGTGCTTCGGGTCGTGACTATGTAGCTCGTTAGCATTGACGTTGACACTGGATCAAAAGTGGTGGTAGCGAAGACCGAAGGCCGAGGGATAGTGTGAACATTGAATATTGATGCCTAACGTCGATGAGGAGTCGGGAGATAGAGATGGCGGGGCGGGTTGGAGTCTGGACTGGACGAGACATGTTCAGTCAAGATTGGTTGGGTCTACGATGACGCGGATGAAGGGAAAAGCGACGATGGATCGATGGATCTTAGGGGTTCAAGTTATACCATACAGAGAATGGTGACTGTCTTCGCTCTTCCCGCTCTCGTTTTGTTTACTCAAGTTTCTGTCCAGGTTTGGAGATGGATGGTATCACCAATCCTCCTGTTCTCCTCACAGCTACCGCGCTACCGTGCTACTCCCGGAAACCACCCTTTCCCTCCGCGCCTTCTATGGCTATCGAAACCGCCGACATCGTCCCCGCTCTCATTGCGATTTGAGCTCCTCGACGTTATTGATGGTTACATGATCTCTGAGTCCTCACCGTCGGCGTATTTGCGGCTCGTTTACCTTCTCTCGATGGATCCATCTTCGCAATCATCTTCGCACTCATCAAGCGAATTCTTGTATAGGCGTGTATTACTCTACACGCAATACAACCATCCTCGGTATCCTCGGTATCCCCTCTCTCCCTCTCTTCGTGGGTATATTCCTCCTCCCTACTGGATTGTGCATGCACCCTATGACGATGATGGCTGGTGGTGGCTGATAGCCTGGTAAGGCGGCCCTATGGCGCTCTGTAATCTATCATTTCGGTCGTGACTGGCTTGTTACTATGTAGGTCTCTTCGATGTTGACGTTGACACTGAACCCGAAGTGGTGGCGGCGAAGGCTTGGAATAGATGTAATGCCTGATGTCGATGAGGAGTCGGGAGATAAGTGGTTTTCAGTCTGGAGTCTGGACTGGGCTTGGCTTGTTCTTTGATACATGGTGCGAGAGCGGGTGTTGGAGATGATGGAAGTGTTGGAGGTTTGGTTAAAGGGAGAGGCGTGGTTAAGGAGAGATAAGCGGGGTATTGATGTAGAGAGGAGGAGACGTCGTGGGTCGTTCCGATTTAAAACGCGTATCCAGGGCGTCGAGTCGAGCATTCCTCTGTGCTAGTCACATCCAATCATAATGTAAGAATACTGAAACTGAGGGCAGGAGGATGAGCGTGTGATCAGGTAACAAATAATGTGACATAACAACGTGTGACTAACGCGTTTGTTTTTGCTCTTCAACGTACCTTCACCGTTGTCGTCGTCGACCGTCGAATCGCGATGAGTAAAACTGGCCAGTTCAGCACAATGTCGGATGACCAGTTTCGGCATGTCATATCTCAGGTGAGTATCCGAGTTCTTTCGCAGAGATAGTAGCTAATTAGACGGATTGTATGTAGTTGCCATTAAGCGGTAGACCAACAGCAGGAGCAACAACGCGTGCGACGCGAGGATCGAGCTCGTCTACGCCTCAATCACCACCAATGTTGATGCTCGCACCGCCGTCGTATGTACCGCAGTATCCGCAGGGGCAGCAACCACCACAAACGCAGAATCAAACTCAAACTCAAACACGGTATCAACACTACCAAATCCCACAACCCCAACCACAATCCCAACCACCCGCGGTAGCTCCAATCGCACCAGTAGCAGGAACCCCGATATCCTCCTCCGCCCAAGCGTACTTTACGAGTTATGCTTCCCGACTCCGAACAGGCTCTACGCTGCTCGTTCAACCGACTCTGTTCCCAGGGTCCACTACCACGACTGCCTCTTCCTCTTTGCCTATCCCCTCCACCTCATCATCATCAACCCTGGGAACAACGACGCGTCCAACACGTGCATCCCGTCGATCTCGGGGAACAGTGATCAACTACGCCGAGGTAGACGACGAGGGGGATGACGACGAGGGTGACGGTGACGATGCGAATGATACTAAAAAAGACGGAGATCATATACCGGACGCTGGTGCACTCGATGATGATGTAACCGATGGGGATTTCGTCGCTGGGAGTGGGAGTGGGAGGAGAGTGGGGAGACCGAGCAAACAGCAGCAGCAAGTTAAGGAGTATAACTCGGATTTGGATCAGAGTTATCTCGGCCTGGTTCCACCTGCGAGGTTCATCAAGTCTAGGGGGTTTCTATCCAATGCTGCGACGGCGCAGGGCGGTCCGATGTTCAGTTTAGACTACGGTCCAAACTACCTTTCTTCTCTTCCCCTTCCCTCCACTCCTCCTCCGCACCCAATTCCAAATCCCATCCTCATCCCAGTCCGGCTAGAATTCGACGTCCCAGAACTAGGCTTACGCATCCGCGATGTCTTTCTCTGGAACCTCCACGAACCGTCGGCGTCTATAACCCCAGAAGTATTTGCTGCGCAATTTTGTAGGGACCTGGATATCGGGGTGGATCCGTATGGGGAGATCGTGGCGAGGCAGATTAGGGCACAGGTGGAGGATACGAGGGGCGAGGCGTGGGTTGGGTGGATGGATTCGTTGGGTTTCTCTGTTGATGAACACAACGACGACGACGACGACGAACAAGACCTAGACCTAAACCAACATCACCACCAAAACACCCCCACCCAAAACACCAGCCCCGAATGCCGCGTCATCCTCTCCCTCGACGTCCAAATCTCCACCCACCACCTAACCGACCACATCGAATGGGACCTCCTCTCTCCCCTCACCCCCGAAGCCTTCTCTCTCCAACTCTGTGCCGACCTCGGGTTATCCGGGGAAGCCATCCCACTCATCGCGCATGCAGTGCACGAGGAGCTGTGTCGTCATAGGAGAGATGTCGTTGATTGGGGTGTTTTAGGTGCTCTGCATCCTCCTAGTGCCCCTTTACTTGGTGACTCGGAAGGAACGGTGAAAGACCGAACAGGGCTTGGCCTCGGGTTAGGTGTAGGATCCCTCGGCCGTCCGTCCAGAGAACGAGACGGGCGGTACCCGAAGCCTCTACGGAGTGCGTGGAGGGATTGGGCGGAGGCGGAGGAGTATGCAACAAGGTGGGAGGTGTTGAGTCCCGAGGAGGTAGAGCGGAGGGAGGTCGAGAGGGAGAGGGCAGGGAGGAGGTTGAGGAGGGAGACGAGTAAGTGGAGGTCGAGGAGGTGATTGATGTAGATGATGTGTTATGTTATATAGTGTATGATTGAGTGTTTGAGGTATGATATACCAGTTCATTACTTTTTGCATTACTTTTGCCCTTCCTCTCCTTCCTCCGATCCATCCTATAAACGTCCTGCTGTATCCATCCCAAGTCTGAGTGCGAATTTGACTCTTTGAGTCTATTCTCCACCATGAACATCAGATCCGGGAAAAACATCGAGAGACCCAAGAAAAACAATCAAGACTAAGTGTAAGAAAAGCCTTTTCAATTCCTGACTTTTCAACTTTACTTTGATTTTGCATTCCGGAAAGACATTTCATGGATGGAATGGATGGATGGATGGCCATGACCTATGTATATGCTCGAGTTCTCACTTGGGAGGACATCCTCTAAAAGCTCCACCACCCCCTCCCAGGCAGTGTGGCCATGCTTATACTAATGTAGAAGGGGACTGCCAGAGGAATTAATCCCGCCCCTGGAGCTGAGAAGGAGTCTCAACTCACAACAGCATTTCACAGCTACTCCTGTTAGATTATATCTCATTCGAGATTCAGAATTGCTGGACTTGGGAACTGAGTTGCCATTGTGATTCTTGTTGAAGTACTCACACAACTGCGATTCCAACTTGACTGACCTGAACTGTTGTAATCCACACCTATAAAAGCAGGGCATTTGGAGACTGAACAACACAATAATTCTTTTACCACATTCACCAATATTACACAGACACAGTTTCAACTCTCTGCATTATCTATCACTTTGGATTGGCTTTCTGAATTTTCCAGATTTTGCCACAATGGATGATATTCTTCCACAAGTTGAATCTTGGTAAATAAATTTTATGATACCTATTGATAGTCTGTACTCATAGTTTTTTTTTCATATTATTCAACTTTTATTCTTTCGAACAAGGTTGTTGAGCAATTATGCTGAGGCTGCTGTTATTAGTGAGCAATTTATCTTGTGTTTCAACTACACCCTTGATTACATTTCTTTTAGCACTATGTGTTGCAGACTATATTAAGACATGGCCCAGAGATTTTAGCTCAATATGGAAAAGAAAATTGACTGGAACTTCAGTACTGTTCCTGGTGAACAGATACATGTTGCTCTTGTCTGTTATGATTCAAGCAATACCTGGTTTTCCTGGAAATGGAACAGATGAACAGTAAGTCATGACTTTTCTAATACATGTTGGTCTGGTACTAATATAAAAAAAGGTGCCAAGCATTAAACATAATATATCCAATTTGTGGAATTTTGGCCTTAGTTGCAACCAATGGTATGTAGTCAATCTGACCTCAATGACCTCCACTCACCTGTTTAAGTTCTTTTTGCCCTGAGGGTTTATGCAATATATAGTAGAAATAAAGTGATTTTTGGAATAGCTTCTGCATTTATCATTTCAAGATTCACACTTGATATATGGGTAAGTGTCATTATCACTGAGCCAGCAGGGATTGGCTAGTTGTATTTCATTGTCCAGTGACCCATTTTGTGCAAAGAGTACAGTACTAGAAGTTAGTGTTTCCACAATTGGATCTCCATCTCAAAACCTCTCAAGGTGTGGGCTAAGCATTAATAATATAGATCAATACACTCAGTAAGCACCAGTTTATCAGTTCTCTGACAAATATTTGATTTTGCATCTTCTTCAGGTGTGAGATAATCATGTTTATGCAACAATATTCAGACTGTTGATTTTTCTAGTTGAACTGGCTATTCCACTGTTGGCATTGGGATATGACATTTTCATCTTCATTCTAACTGCTATAAAGACTGTGCAACATTCACTGGAAATGCAAAGGCTCAATCAATCTAGTATTACACAAATAATCATCCGTGATGGTAATTGTTGTTTATAATGTTCTGAAAATGATGCTTAAGCTTTCTAATAGGGACTTTGTATTTCCTGTATGTTCTATTCCATTATTTGAACCGAGAAATATAACTGATATTGAGTATTTTAAGACTCATGCTTGTAGTGGCTATTATTCTTGCTATCTTCAGTGTGGTCAGTTTTTAAAATTTCTCAAAGTTGTTGAGTGCATTATATTTAAAGAATCCCTCAAGGTATCATTAAAGTCAGGAAATTTAAATGTATGTCATTGTATCCAAAAAGGTTGTGGATTATTGCAAAATACACTCTCCATTTACAACAGAATCTCAAGGAGTTTGTCACACCCTTCTTTGATATGTGAATCAATCTTCCATTGGTGATTATATTCTTTCTAATTTATTTCCCAGATTGCCCAACATTCTCATCAGCCGCCTGATGCTCAACTTGCGCACATATTCTGAACCTGGCAATACCACAATATCCCAAGGTCAACAGACCCGTGTGTCATCATTGAACTTTGCTTCCAACCAGATGTTGGGGAATATTGGTGCTCCATTGGATGGGAGATCTTTCAATGAGGAAGAAGAAGAAGAAGAAGAAGAGAGAGTGGAAATAGAGGCTATTGATGGGCAACATGACAGGTCTAGTGAGCCTGAGAGGTAACTTGGATTTGATCATGACATGATACAATCTCATGTCACATATGTTCAAGCTGCTGATTGTGCAGACTCCAAAGCATAAGGAAGGCTTTTGAACTTGAATGTTTACCATATGTTTTGATGGAATATTGAAATTTTTCTTGCACTTTGATATATATATATTTATTTCTTTTGTTCTTCCCACAATACCTAATTGAATTATTTATTTAGCTTGGGTGTTGTTGTTGTCAAATTGACCTAAGTAAATCAGGACAGTTTAGTATGGTGTCATGATCAATTTAGACAAGTAACATCTCAGTCTTTTTACAGATGAAGTAGCTAATTAGATATATCTGTCATTGAGTGGAGGCACAACAGGTTTAACAGGAGTAGAAACAACACATTAGATGCAATGGTTGAGTTCTTCAACACCTCAACCACTGCCAATGTTGATGTTGATACTCCCATCTTATGTTCCACAATATCTGCAGGTATAACAGCAGACACAGGATCAAACACAAACACAGTATCAGCATTACCAAATCCAGCCACCGCAGCCACACTGAATGTGACTCTGCACAAATCAGTGCACAATTAAGAATACAAATACGGAGTGTGCATTGCAAGCAACGTGATTTTCAATTGCATGTAGTACATATAGTTGTCACTCCTCACTTTTTTCCACCCAAGTGACAAGAGGCAAAAGTCTTCAATAAACTTTGGACACTATTGAAGCCTGACTGGTCCCTGAAACTGTGCCTACATTCATGTCCTGCATGATTGCAGCTCCAGAGGACCTGTATAATATACATTGACACAGGGTTTTTGGATAAGAAAGAAACACAAGGGGGGAACCACGTATGTCCCAACCCTCTCTGCACCAGCTCCCAACATCTCCACACATTTCTCAAATGATTGAATTCCCGCACTTGTTTTCACTTTAACTTTATCACCCTTCCCATCATTCCTCCCAGAAGTATATTCCACAGACCGATACAAAAGCCCCACATCCTCCATCGTCGCTCCTCCCCCACCAAACCCAATACACATTTTGACAAAATCTGCACTGGCTTCAGCAGCGATGAATGCTCCAGCAATTTTTTCGGAGTCAGAGAGAAATATAGTTTTGAGGATGACTTTCAGGTTGACTTTTCTCATAGCTTCTTCACTTGTTTGGGTGAGGGATGACTCGGAGGATCGTAGATCGTGCTGATGGAGCTGAGGCTGGTAGACGTGGCATGCTTCAGCAACAGCACAAATATCATTGAAAACAGTGGTGTAAGATTTGTATTTAAGTGCGCCAATGTTTATTACCATGTCGATTTTGCGCGCGCTGTTGAAGATGGCGTCTTGGGCTTCGCTTTGTAGTAAGTAGGTAAGATCGTTATTGAGTGTGGGGTATTATTATCTAGTGTTGAACTCACAACACTTTTACCGCCGTTGTACTTGCCCCGAGAGGAACCCCAATCACTGCACATGGAATAGATTTGGATCCGTGTAATCGTTCAGCAACTTGTTTAACGTGGACTCCATTCACGCAGCATGACTAGACTTTGTCCACATACACTGTGTACACATGCAGACACAAAATAAAGCCTTACCTTGAACCCATACCTTATCACCTCATAGCACAAAACATCGATCTGCGCTGAAGTAGCATCCGGTTTCAATAGAGTATGATCAATAGTCAAAGGGAATAAAGGATCCGATGGGTATGTTATGGTTATGAACTTGGTCTGGGATTACCAGTGTGTGCTGCTACTGTACCATTGTTATCAGTGTTCTTGAGTTGGAAAATCTTTTCCTCAATGGCGATTTTCCATTCCTCATCTGTAAGAGCCATGCTAGCACTGTGGATATCGGTACTGACTCAACTGGAACGATACAAGCAAAGTTCTCACGCTTGGTTTCTTTCAATTCTCAGCACATCTTTTGGTGGTATGGATCAGGGATACATGAACAACAGAATACTCAAGTTGCTGATAAATAGCAGCAAGAAAGGATCCTATGCAAATAAAATAACCAGAGTGATAGTCCTCCGAGTCCCTTTCTAGTTTGTCACCACCTTGTAGCTTCGATCCTCCTGCTCAAGTTCACTACTAGATGCTGACATTGTGGTGAAGAACCCATTCCCATAATCCCCAGATACCGACTGCTCCGACTCGCCGGATACAAATTGTCCAGGTGCAAACCGGATTGTACTACACTTTGGCAAGGCTCCGACTCCTTTCTCAACATCTTGCTTTAAAGGCTCTCTATGGCCTCCGACCACTGCTGAAAAGCTTTCCAAAATGGATCTTTGGGAGGCGATGATTGAGATTACGAGTGCTGAGTGTGTTCCCTATGTGTAAAGATGAGGTACAGTACTGGATCAACATTGAAAAGAAAAAAAGTGGCAAGGTAGGGGAAGAAGAAGCTCACTGCGAAAAACAATGTAAACTGCGCAACAATTGCACAACCAAGTACTGAAGGCGCATTGTCATCTACAGTCAACGTTCCATTTGCCACGGACATTCATGAGTGAGCATCAAAACTACATTGGACTATTTCATCCATCAAGTAATAGAAACCCCACCTGAACTGCACAGTAAAATAAACCACACTCAACAAGGGAAAGCAAAATTTTGAAAGACACATTCTTGTTCACTCGATCTCGAGACATTGTTTTCTTGATTGACTGTTGGAAGAGCCTAACATGCAAGTTATTACAAGTGTGTAGTATGATTAGCATCAAAAATGTGTCAAGGACAACAAAAACTCAATGGGAAAAGTGAAAAGATCAAGTTTCCCCGACATACCAAGCTTTACTCATAATACAGCTCATCGCCGCGAGATTCACAGCTAACGAGACAAACATACTTGAAGCATTGCCCTTCAAGAATCCATTTCCGCTTGCTCCCTTGTTGCTTGTGAGGATGATGGAGAAATTTGTCACGTCATATATTGATGCAGCTGAGATTGCAAATAATATTCCCAGTCAGCAATTATTGTATGCCAGAAGATTGCAGGAGGATTTGGAGGGGATTGGAGACCAGGAGGTCAACATAGGTAGTAGTATGAAGGAGTAGTCTGTGGTAAACTCAGTATGTCAACTGACCTGCACTTCCAGCCAACAGTACACACAATGTATACCACACAGCTCTTGAATGGTACCAAAGAACAGAAATGCACCACACGACAATTGCATCCCCGGCAAAGAACTAGAGAACAATTAACAAGGTATCCAGATTTCAAATATCAGCAAACTCAATGATTCATCACTTCGGAGTACCAATTCTCCAACAAGGTTTACTTACATTCAAAACCTGAAAAATCAGGGAAGCGATCCCATAGGGCTCTGCCCTCGCGGATGCGCTAGCCATTCGATCAAGATATGAGATGCTATCACTAGGAGATTGAGACCAAGACAACCCGGTGAGGGTCTCCCCGACATTGGTGATGAATTGCCCGGTAACGGAGAACAGAGTGAGACATGTGAGGATTAAAAGGAATCGGACAGGTTTGGAGTTGCGTGCTCTTTGTCTACAGTTTGAAGTAAGTAATGATGATTGTTGAGTTATGAGATGGAGCACATATGTATCTTTATGCAAACTCAAACACGCACCTTAAAACATTTATCGAAAGTGCGAAAACAGGTAAAGAGAGACCTGCCAATATAAGAAACAACAGTCGTAGGTAGTATCATCAATTCCATTGATAGACCACATACCATAAAAGAGGCTCGCCCCTAGGATGTAGACAACGTCGAAATACGCTGAGAACCCAATCTGGTCTGCTATCTCGTTTTGAGAAACAGTAGGGGAAGACATGAGGCGTTGGGATGAAGGTGAGGCTGCAGGGAACTTGAAACAGTGTTGACTCCATTCTCATTATATATTAACTTCCCTATGGGACCGCATCTCGAGTAATCAATAGTGGTTTTTCTGCGGAGCGGTTTGTGGTATCACACAATCTATCTATTTATCTTAGTCAAGATTGAAGCTTCTGAGTAGAATATAATGCATGTCAATTCAACGGTAGTCCTGATACAAGCAAAGAAACACACATTGACTTTGATGTAAGTGTTCAATGCCTTCCATAGAAATGACCCAACGAATAACTTCCTTGCGTTCCAACAGCGTACTCATCAGAATCATGATGGTGTATATGAGGAGATGAATTCCACAAAAAAAAAGTTGGGAGAAGCTAAATGCATATACTTTGGGGGGAAAAGATCTATAATTAGAAATAGAACCTGCTTCAATGCAGGTGAAAAAGAGCATACCTCATAAACGTGTATATTCAATGCATGTTCTATCCTTCCAACACAAACTAAGCTACACTTTTCCCCTGTCCCTCAAATCCTTCGCAATGCCCTCCAACAAATTTTCAATCCTTTCCTGTCTTTCCTCCAACTTCGCCAACCTCTCCGACCACTGCGAAGCACCACCTGCACTCCCCTCCTCCTCCTGAATCTGTCCAGCTGTAGGTATATCCAAGCCCCCACGACTAGACGGGCTCTGCCCAGGTGGGCTCTCCGAGATAACGCCATCTGCACCACTCATGACTTCCTGCATCGAAGGGAAGTTCTGCTGAGACCGCGGTTGCTGTTGTTGCACATGCTGAAGATGTCGATTCGGTGTACCCAAGTTATTATTGCTTTGACGAAGAAGCCCAACATCGCTTGTATTACGCCGATGAACTCCCTGCATAGACGACAGCCGTCTTCGTGTTGTCGGCCCGTAGCTAATCAGTGGAGCACCACCCTGTGGTACCGAGGGAACCTGGTCTAGGGACTCATCACTCGCAAGAGGGAGATCGTCATCAACGACCAAAGGCTGATATATCTGTGCTAAGGGACTGGTGAAACTTTGCGCGGCCTCCATACCTCAACTCATAATTGAGTTGACTCGAGTTCGCGGAGGTATAGGATGCGGTTGACTTCCTCCTAATTGATCTTGTGAAGATGAAGAAGGACCACCACCAGGAGTAAGATGAGTTTGATTCGCAAACGGTCTATTTTGGGAGGAGTTCGAGGTTCTTCGTTGTTGAAGGGAATTGGATGTGCGACGATTGGAAGAATTGGATGTCTGCCGTTTGCTTGGAGAAGGTGGGGGGCTGTTCGGTTTTGATGATGTTGATACAGATGGTGATAGAGGTGGTTTGTCACTCGGACCAAGTTCAACATCATCCCTAGTATCCAACGCACTAGTATCTAGTTCTTCCTCGATTTCGAAGATCTAAGGAAAAATGAGGACATCTGCTATTTTTTGCACATTGTCAACTCTTACTGCATCAATATCACTATCAGATCCAGCCAATCCTTCAAAAATAGCTGTAACAACCATCAGATTCTATAACACAAGGAAAAAGCAGGTTAAACTTACACAATCGTTTCAATTGCCTTGGAAGTGGATTAATCATACGCCCTCTCCGTGACCACTATCAAGGTCTCATAGAATCCTGTAGTCCTGTTATGTTTAGCCTGCCGTTCATACAGTGCAATGATCAGGAGCGCAGGAAGGTTCATGATTCTGATCATGAATACGTTGACCTACACGAGCGACACCGATGAGTGTTGAATACAGAAAATTTTCAGTAAATGGACCTTATGGAACCACCTAGGGGTGAGGATATAACTGAGTGGAAGCATGAAACACAGTGCAACCAAGTTTATCGGAGGCTGGTAAGAGAACAAGGAGTCTGCCTTTATGCCTTCAATCGTGGACACGGCTTTTCTGAACATGGCCTGGCGTTAAAGGGGTGAAATCTACAGTAGTTCCAGGGATGGAAATGAGGACACTCACCTCCGCAGCGGCGTCTTCGTTTATTGTCGCAAAAGTGTTGGAAAGAATCTAGCAAAAAAAATTGAGAACACAGTATAGCTTATTCGATCGACCACTCACAGACACGAGGACTGAACAGGATATTGTAAACAATGAGCGCCATAATCTTTTCAAACCACATACCAGTCAGCAGCAGAGTATTACTGAGCATAGCGTATGTGACCATAAGCACTGGCCCGAAGACTTGATGAAATTGAGCTTGTGATATAGATTATATTTTGGACAGAACCGTATCAATCAAGGAAAAGCAACTTACTCGACCGTTCGAAACCACTGGCATCTAACCCGAACCAAAGGTCAAGCATCCATCAAGCAATGGTCCTTTGTGTTGATTAGAGATAAGCTGATGTGGATCGAGAAGACAGACGTACCCAGCACTGTATCTGAAGATGGTCTAGTTATTGAGAACACCGCTAATCATATTATCTAAGAGCGTGGCATGACATACTGTGCTTCATTGCGGCTTAGCCTACGTGTTGAGAACCAAAAAGAGAAGTGTAAATTCAGTAAGGAACTGTGTTCATTGAATATAGCTTGACGCACGTCCAAAGAGCATAAAGAAAACCACAAAAGCAGAACGCAGCGATCAGCATGAGCACAACGAATTGCGTAATCATAGCTCTCAATGAAAGGACCATTAGATTATTGCGAAGCGTGACAAATGCCAGTCTGATACAGAGTCAACCAACATCAATGTATGATAATGTTAGCTCGAAAGTGCTAACCTCGGAAACATCAAGCAAGCGATGAGAGCAAGACAGTCTATACCGGTAGAACGCGCCCAGAGACCTATACTTAGACTCTTGAATGATTGTTCCGAAAGAAACCAAAACGGGACGACAAACTATGGTGAAATACTCCATAAAGCCTGAGGATAGCATAAAGCATAAAGGTCGTTACTGAAACCGAGTTTGATCACCAAGCTGGACATTTTACTAGATGGGATTAAGAGTTTACCAAAAGCGAGATCGAAACCATTCTATAAACGGTAGGTCAGTTCTACCTCTTTCGTAAAGGTAGATAGCTTACCCAAGTACCCTTAAAGTACACTGTACGCCGAAAATTCGAAATGATGTTCAGAGAATCACCAGCCTGACATGGGTATACGCACCTTGTACACCATGTTCTTGCATCGCAGCAACCTTTTCGAGACAGAATCCAAGAGCATATACCATGAAGATTACCTCGGGAGCATTCAACTCGTCTCGGGTGTTCCATTCAGTAGCGAGGATAAAGAGTACGAAAAGAATCAAGAAGCTAACCAAAACAGTTAGCTTTTTGGATTGTAGGTCTCTTTTCGTCTTGGATCACGTACTTGGTGTATTCCAGAACCGACCGAATGAAAGGTACCTTGAGACTGTTATCAAAGAACGTTCAGCCAGGACCAGTTATCTGCAAGAGCCGCCCGACCAACCGATAATGATCCAATAAAGGGGCTTTGTGAGGGTCATAGAAGTGGATTGGGTTCCGTTTGTAGGTCTACTAGAAGATGAAGTGATAGTAGAAGACTCTCGATGGCGAATGATACTTGCATCTGATAGGATCGAGTGACTGCTTTCGGCTTGATACACACACTTTCCTCTGAACGGAAATACGGCATTGAACGACGAGTGATGAGAGAAACCATGATGTGAGTACGCACGACCAAATCCCATCAATGACCTTCTGACAAGAAGAACTTTTTATAAACCTCTTCGACCTTCCTAGAATCGCCATTTCAATAGCATTCCCAACCCTTTCTTCCAGATCTTCCCTCTCCTCGCGAGCCATTTGCATCACAGTCTCGTCCGCACCGCTATATACCATCCAACTCGTCGTCAAGACCACGGCGAGCTCCAACAGATTGTTGCCGTACTCCCGCAATGTGCGTATTGCCAGGATTTCACAAAGTTCTGCGCGGGTTCGAGATACAGGAGAGGTAGCCATGTTGAAGGAAGACGCCGTTGACATCGAGGCGTTCAAGAGCGTCATTGGCGCCAGTGTTGAGGCTACTTACTCGTCACTAGCGCTGGCTGGAAATATATTCCACGTTCTACTCATCGAAAACACGAACACGAACCACGGGTTTCATCGAATCCAATGAACACTGCGTTCATCACCCAATCACCGAATTGTATCACCAAGTTGAATTCCCGGAATCCCCTCAACGGCCTGCAACGCCTCTGTTTCTCCGTCCCTCCGTCCCTAGCGGCGGTTCGACATTCAGGAGAACAACTTCAGCTGATCATGAGTTCAACTAGGTGTCGTAGGATATGGGTTCGAATATGGGTTCGGATAAGAAGTTGGTACAGACTCGGAGACGTGTTTAGTCAAGATTGGTTGGGTCTACGATGACGCGGATGAAGGGAAAAGCGACGATGGAACGATGGAACGATGAGGTTATAACATATGGAGAATGGTGAGCACCTTCGCTCTTCCCTCTCTCGTTTTGTTTACTCAAGTTTCTGTCCAGGTTTGGAGATGGATGGTATCACCAATCCTCTTGTTCTCCTCACAGCTACCGCGCTACTGTGCTACTCCCGGAAACCACCCTTTCCCTCCGCGTCTTCTATGGCTATCGAAACCGCCGACATCGTCCCCGCTCTCATTGCGATTTGAGCTCCTCGACGCTATTGATGGTTACATGATCTCCGAGTCCTCACCGTCGGCGTATTTGCGGCTCGTTTACCTTCTCTCGATGGATCCATCCATCCATCCATCTTCGCACTCATCAAGCGAATTCTCGTATAGGCAGGGTATCCCTCTCGGTTCGGGTATGGGTATTCCCTCGCATTGTTATGATGGCTGGTGCTGCTGTTGGTATGGCGTTCTGTACTCGAGCGTTGTGGTTGTGACTGGTCGATGTTGACGTTGATACCGAATCAAAGGTGGTGGCAAAGGCTGAAGTCGGGAGATAGGGATAGCGGGGTGGGATGGAGTGGGAATGCGGGAGTTGTTGGACGTTCTAGGGGAGTTCGAAGTGTTAGACGTTAGAGGGTTGGATAAGGGGAGATGAAGGAGAGTATTGATTGCTGTTGAGACGAGGGGTGGTTGTGGTTGGTCTGCGGTTTGTAATGTTTGAAGGTGATATGGGGATAAATAGCATTCTTTCTGCGCCGCTTGCTCTTTCAATCTTATTTTCGACCTCTACTAATCGACGGAAAATGAAAGTGAGGGGACTAGCGTGTGATCAGTAACAAATAATGTGACATAACAACGTGTGACTCCCGTACCTTACGCGTTTGCTTTTTCATTCTCATCCTCAACGTCGTCGAATCGCGATGAGTAAAACAGGACAATTCAGCACGATGTCGGACGATCAGTTTCGACATGTTATATCTCAGGTGAGTATCCGAGTCTTTTCCTCTCAGAAGTACCTTGCTTACCGGACGGATGTAGCTGCCATTAAGCGGTAGAACAACAGCAGCAACAACAACGCGTGCGACGCGCGGATCGAGCTCGTCAACGCCTCAACCAGCGCCGATGTTGATGCTCGCACCGCCGTCTTATGTACCGCAGTATCCGCAGGGACAGCAACAACCGCAGACGCAAATTCAGAATCAAATGCAGCAAAGTCAAACACGGTATCAACACTACCAAATCCCCCAACCACAACCACAATCCCAACAAGCTCCGGTAGCTCCAGTCGCACCAGTAGCAGGAACCCCAATATCTTCCTCCGCTCAAGCGTATTTCACATCCTATTCTTCCCGCCTCCGAACAGGTGCGACACTCCTCATCCAACCGACTTTATTCCCTGGTTCCACCACCACCACCGCCTCTTCTTCTTTACCTATCCCCTCCACCTCATCATTGTCTTCGACCCTGGGAACGACGACGCGTCCCACGCGCGCATCCCGTCGATCTCGGGGAACAGTGATCAACTACGCCGAGGTAGACGACGAGGGGGATGACGACGAGGGTGACGGTGACGATGCGAATGATACTAAAAAAGACGGAGATCATATACCGGACGCTGGTGCACTCGATGATGATGCGACCGACGGGGATTTCGTCGCTGGGAGTGGGAGGAGAGTGGGTAGACCGAGTAAACAACAACAGCAAGTGAGGGTGGATAGCTCAGATTTAGATCAGAGCTATCTCGGCCTGGTTCCTCCGTCGAGGTTTATTAGGACCAGAGGTTTCTTATCGAACGCTGCTACGGCGCCAGGCGGTCCGATGTTCAGTTTAGACTACGGTCCAAACTACCTTTCTTCCCTTCCCCTTCCCTCTACCCCTCCTCCGCACCCAAACCCGATCCTCATCCCGGTCCGACTCGAATTCGACGTCCCAGAGCTCGGATTACGCATCCGGGATGTCTTTCTCTGGAATCTCCACGAACCGTCGGCGTCTATAACACCAGAAGTCTTTGCCGCGCAGTTTTGTAGGGACCTGGATATCGGGGTGGATCCGTATGGGGAGATCGTGGCGAGGCAGATTAGGGCACAGGTGGAGGATGCGAGGGGCGAGGCGTGGGTTGGGTGGATGGATTCGTTGGGTTTCTCTGTTGATGAACACAACGACGACGACGACGACGAACAAGACCTAGACCTAAACCAACACCACCACCAAAACTCCCCCTCCCAAAACACCGAATGCCGCGTCATCCTCTCCCTCGACGTCCAAATCTCCACCCACCACTTAACCGACCACATCGAATGGGACCTCCTCTCCCCTCTCACCCCTGAAGCCTTCTCTCTCCAACTCTGTGCCGACCTCGGGTTATCCGGCGAAGCCATCCCACTCATCGCACATGCGATACACGAGGAACTGTGTCGTCACAGACGAGACGTTGTTGATTGGGGCGTTCTCGGTGCCCACCCTCCGTTGAACTTGATTCCCGGGAGTGGGGGTGACTTGGAAGGACCGATAAAAGACCGAACAGGGCTGGGTTTAGGATCCCTCGGACGCCCAGCGCGAGAACGAGATGGGCGGTACCCGAAGCCTCTGAGGAGCGCGTGGAGAGATTGGGCGGAGGCGGAGGAGTATGCGACGAGGTGGGAGGTGTTGAGTCCCGAAGAGGTAGAGCGGAGGGAGGTCGAGAGGGAGAGGGCAGGGAGGAGGTTGAGGAGGGAGACTAGTAAGTGGAGGTCGAGGAGGTGATTGTGAGGTTTGGTTATTACAGGGAAAATACGACAGTCAATTCCATATCCTCTACTTCCTCTAATACATCCTTCAAACATCCTCCCAAGTCCGAGTGCAAAAAGAAAAATCCAACTCTGGAGTCTATTCCCCACAATCACCTACTATGAATAGTGGATAGTGTGAAATGGGAATAATACATCCTTCTGTATCCATTCCATTCCAAGTCCTGAATCCTTCGCTGGGTTCGTCATTGGAGTGTGTTTGTCCCATGGACAGGGTAAAAATCTCAAACTTCGCACTAACAGAGGTCATTGTGGAGAATAGACTCCAGAGTCGGGTTTGCACTTGACACAGCGAGTGATTTGGGATAAACATCCAGAGACCCGGAATAAACATCATATCCCGGGAAAAATAATCAAGACTAAGTGTAAAGAAAGCCTTTTCAATTTTTGACTTCGACTTTTTCAACTTGAACTTTTGACTCTGTATTCCGGAAAGACATTTCATGGATGGATGGATGGGCACGACCTTCGAGCGATTTTGTCTATGCTCGAGTTCTCACTTGGCAAGAAATCCATATCCTTCTATCCTTCTACTTGACATATCCTTCTATCCTCCTTCTTGAATGCTTGAATGCACAGGTCCTACGGGCTTGAAGACGGAGTATACCATAGGATACCTATGTATGTAAGCTAATTACAATAGAAATTTAGTACACAACAGTACATAACAATCCCTGGAATGGAGAAGGAGTCTCAACCCCACAGCAGCATTGCCGAGGTAAGGCTCTGGTTTTGCAGGGTATACCATCCTGGAGAGCACCTGTGAGCCCATCACCACTTGGTTTAGGCAAGTGCTACCGGCTTTTGCTGGATCTCACTACATCAATTATTGGAGTTCTGTGCACTGCCAAGTGTATGGGGAATGATGTAGATATAGAAGGAGTTGGTGAATTGAGGGATCTGACAGATGCTGAGGAGAGCATAGCCAGATTTTCGGAGGGATCAAGGTATTTGGATTTCCATTTTCAACTAATCATTGTAGTTAACAGTGGAATTTCAGAAACAGATTACAAAAATTCATCTAGCCAACACTGTCACTGTCCTTGTTTGCTGGAGGGGATTGCTCTTTGCATAACTAGTACTGTGATATAAGCACCTATTCCTGAGCACCTTCTATATCTTTTAAAAGCTCCACCCCCTCCCAGGCAGTGTGCTTGTGCTTATACTAATGTAGGAGGGGACTGCCAGAGGAATTAATCCCGCCCCTGGAGCTGAGAAGGAGTCTCAACTCACAACAGCATTTTACAGCAACTCCTGTTGGGTTATATCTCATCTGAGATTTAGAATTCCTGGACTTGGGAACTGAGTTGCCATTGTGATTCTTGAAGTACTCACACAACTGCACTTTTAACTTGACTGACCTGAACTGTTGTAATCCACACCTATAAAAGCAGGGCATGTGGAGACTGAACAACACAATAATTCTTTTTACCACATTCACCAATAAACACTAGGAGCCAGTTTTGACCTCCTGAATTATCAATCACTATAGAACAACTTTCTGAATTTCTTAAATCTTGCCACAATGGATGATATTCTTCCTCAAATTGAATCTTGGTAAATAAAACTCATGATACCTATTGATAGTCTGTACTCATAGTTTTTTCTTCACATTATTTGACTTTTATTCTTTCAAACTAGGGTGTTGAGCAATTATGCTGAGGCTGCTGTTATTAGTGAGCAATTTATCTACTGTTCCAACTATGCCTTTCATTACATTTCTTTTAGCACTATGTGTTGCAGACCATATTGAGACATGGCCCAGAGAATTTAGCTCAATATGGAAAAGAAAATTAACTGGAACTTCAGTACTGTTCCTGGTAAACAGATACATGTTGCTCTTGTCTGTTATCATTCAAGCAATATTTGAGTTTCCTGGAAATGGAACAGATGAGCAGTAAGCTATGACTTTTCTAATGCATGTTGTCCTGGTACTAATATAACAAAAGGTGCCAAGCATTAAATATAATATATTCAATTTTTACAATTCTGTCCATAGTTGCAGCCAATGGTGTGTAGTCAATCTTACCTCAATGACCTCCACTCACCTAGTTGAAGTTCTTTTTGCCCTGAGGGTTTATGCAATATACAATAGAAATAGAGTGATTTTTGGAATAGCTTCTGCATTCATCATTTCAAGACTTACACTTGATATATGGGTATGTGTCATTATCACTGAGCCAGCAGGAATTGGCTGCTTGTATTTCATTGTCCAGTAACACATTTTGTGTACAGAATTTAGCACTAGGAGTTGGTGGTTCCACAATTGGATCTCCATTTCAAAACCTCTCAAGGTGTGGGCTAAGTGGTAATAATGTAGATCAATACACTCAGTAAGCACCAGTTTATCAGTTCTCTGACAAATATTTGATTTTGCATCTTCTACAGGTGTGAGATAATCATGTTTATGCAACAATATTTAGACTGTTGATTTTTTTAGTGGACCTGGCTATTCCATTGTTGGCATTGGGATATGACATTTTCACCTTCATTCTAACTGCTATAAAGACTGTTCAGCATTCACTGGAAATGCAAAGGCTCAATCAGTCTAGTATTACACAAATAATCTTCCGTGATGGTAATTCTTGCATATATTGTTCTGAGAATGATGCTCAAGATTCCTAATAGGGACTTTGTATTTCCTGTATGTTCTATTACATTATTTGAACCGAGAAATATAACTGATATTGAGTATTTTAAGACTCATGCTTGTAGTGGCTATTATTCTTGCTATCTTCAGTGTGGTCAGTTTTTAAAATTTTCTCAAAGTTGTTGAGTGCATTATATTTATAGAATCCCTCAAGGTATTATTAAAGTCGGGAAATTTCAATGTATGTCATTGTATCCAAAAAGGTTCTGGATTGTTGCAAAATACACTCTCCATTTACAACAGAATTTTGAGGGGTTTGTTGAACCCTTCTTTGAGATGTGAATCAATCTTTCATTGGTGATTATATTCTTTCTAATTCATTTCCCAGATTGCCCAACATTCTCATCAGCCGCCTGATGCTCAACTTGCGCACATATTCTGAACCTGGCAATACCACAATATCCCAAGGTCAACAGACCCGTGTATCATCATTGAACTTTGCTTCCAACCAGATGTTGGGGAATATTGGGGCTCCATTAGATGGGGAATCTTTCAATGAGGAAGAAGAAGAAGAAGAAGAAGAAGAGAGAGTGGAAATAGAGGCTATTGGTGGGCAACATGACAGGTCTGGTGAGCCTGAAAGGTAACTTGATTTTGATCATGACATGATACAATCTCATGTCACATATGTTCAAGCTGGTGATTGTGCAGACCCCAGAGCATAAGGAATGCTTTTGAACTTGAATGTTTACCATATGTTTCAACAGAATATTGAAAGTTTTCTTGCACTTTGATATATGTATATTTATTTGATTCATAGTTCTTTTATCCTGCCCACAATACCTGATTAAATTATTTATTCAGCTTGGGTGTTGTTGTGGTCAAACTGACATGATGTTAAGATTATGTACACCATGAAGCTGTGCCAGAGGCCACAAGGTGTCTAAGGGCAGAGGGTTGAATGGGACAGTAGTGAAGTTATTCACAACACCGCTGTTACACTGCTAGTCCCCGGAGATCGAGAGTGGAGAGTAGGCAACTAGAAGCCACCAAGCTGGAGTGGCAGTAATGCCAATGACAAGGAGCGGACCAAAGAACTCACAAGTCCTGAGATCAGAGTAGAGAGTACTTCAAGGCGACAGGCCTGAAGACTTAGAAGACAGAGAGAGACAAGAGAAGGTGATCTAAGTTGATCTAAGATGATAATTAAACTGAAAAACTACAGTATAGTACAGGAGTATTTATACCTATGAACTGGTGCATTGGAGCAGAGCATCAGACTAACTACTAGGAGCTATACATATAGTGCCTTCAGGGTTAAGCATAAGACAATAAAGAGAGACTAGGTTGAAAGGAAATGTATAGCAAGAAAGAACAATAAAGAAGAGATTATAATAAACAATAGATCTTGGAGTACCGAGTGGCAGAGCGGGGCACCAAGGCATGGTCCTGACAGTATCCCCCTCAAAAGCTGAGATCACTGAAAATTGATCCCATCAACAAAATAAGTTGTTGAAAATTTAAATTCACATCTTCCTGCGGGCCGCTGGTTTAATCGAATGAACCTAATATTTGGTTTTTGAAGCATGTAAAAGGCCCAGGGTTTTCCACTGTGGAACTAACTTTTCCCAAACTCCTAAGTCCCACAGTATGATGACCAGCTGAACTATCACCACAACTACCACCACCTCCCATAACCCTTCCCCCGGCCCTTCCTCATCATGTCCCGCCAACCTCCTGACACCAATACCGCTGCTGTAGAGGACGAGGAGCAGGAGATCAAGAGGATCATGAAGGAGGTGGAGGAGAGGAAGGCCACTGAGGAGGCCAGGAGAGTGGCAGAGGAGGAGGCTGCTAAGAGGGCAGTGGAAGAGGCAAAGAAGAAGGAGGCAGCTGCTTGGGCCGGCACTGCCAGAAGGAAGGCCACTGTCAAGTCCATGCAGCGGGCCTCCATTCCGCCGCTCGGTATTCCGAAGATTTGCTTTTATTGTAATCTCTTCCTATTGTTCTTTCTCGCTACCCATACCCTTTCGTCCTAGTCTCTCATTATTGTCTTTTACTCTTTCGTTCTAGTCTCTCCTTATTGTCTTTCACTCTACCCTGCAGGTACTACTCGTATAGCTCCTAGTAGTTAGTCTGGCGCTCCGCACCGATGCGCCGCTCCGTAGATATAAATACTGCCTGTACGCTACTGTAGTTCCTTAGTTTAATTATCGACTTAGATTCCCTCTTTCACTCTGTGCTCCTCTAAGTCTTCAGGCTTACTGCCTTGAAGTTCTCTCTACTCTACCTTAGGACTTATACGTTCTCTGGTTCGCTCCTCGTCACCGGCGTTATCGCCGCTCCGACTTGGCTGCTACTCAGCTCCTCTCTTCTATACTCTCGACCTCCGGGGACATACGGCGTAACGGCGGTGTTGTTAATAACTTCACTACTGTCCCATTCGTATTCCGCACTTAGACACTCTGTGACCTCTGGCACGGTTACACGGGTTGCATGATCTTAACAGTATAATTAAACTCAATCCGTAACGTCGTACTGACATATCATTTTTTATGCCTCCGAAAACTCGAGCTCAATCCAGAGCTAATTCCGAAGAAAACACTTTCTTCACCACAGCTCAATCATTTGCCCCATTCTCCGACTCTATCTCTGCCATCGGTCAACCACGTCGCCGTAATCGCGGTTTCGGTCCAGCCACAGTTCCTACTACGTCAACTCTTCCTGAAGCCATGGAAGAAGATCAGCAATTTGAGTACAGCACTTTGTACACCGGTGACGGACAACCTGTCCAAGTCTTGACCCCTCGCCGTGGACAACCCCCCGTGGTCGCTCCGGCTCGGGGCCGGTCAACTGCTCGAATTGATTCTCCAATTCTCCAAGCCATAGCCCGCCGTACGGGAAAACAACCCCAACGTCGAGCTGCTTCTGAATCTCCTCGTGACCCACCTCCTCATTTCGATTTGGATACTGGTGATCACGATGATCAAGACCCTCCTGTCGACCCCGACGATCCGGGTGCCGACAACAACAATGACGATCTGGATGACGACTCCGGCGGTTTACCGCGTGGTGAGCCTGGTGACCCCAGTGGGCCTGGCGGTCCCGGCGGTCCCGGCGGACCTGGTGGTCCTGGTGGACCTGGTGGTCCTCGTTCTCCTAATTCTCCTGACATCCCCAACGAGCAACGAGCTATGTTGGATCTTCTCTCGGGATTCAAGGGTTCCATTGAAACCCTCGGTACCGTTCTCACTGCACTCGGCCGTCCCTCTGACAGCTCTGAATCTAAGAGTAAGGTCAAGGAACCCGAGGTATTCGACGGTTCGGATCCCCGAAAACTCAAGACGTTCTTCGTCAATCTCGCCCTGGTCTTCAATGACCGTCCCAAGTACTTCACCGACCAACGGAAGGTGAACTACACCCTTTCCTATCTCAGTGGGTCAGCCAAAGAATGGTTTGTCCCTGATATTCTCGATCCGGACCTCGACTCGCTGCCGGCCTGGACGTCCTCCTTCAAAGCCCTTGTAAAGGAGCTTCAGGATAATTTCGGCGTTTACGACGCCCAAGGCGAGGCCGAAGATTCTCTCGGTAATCTGAAGATGAAGGAAACCGAGAACATCCGGAAATACAATATCCGGTTCAACACCCTGGCTGCTAGTACCAACTGGGATTCTGCTGCCCTGAAATGGGCTTATGGACGAGGCTTAGCTGAGCGCATCAAGGACGAAATGGCGCGTTTGCCCGAGCCGGCGACGCTCGCCGATTACCGTCAAGAGGTTCTTCGCATTGACAATCGTTATTGGAAACGCGAGGAAACTAGGAAGCGCGAGGCTGGTAAGCCTTTTGTTGCTCGGAACCCGAAGAAGGGTTCCTCGGACTTTAAGACTGGTTCTACTAACCAGCAAAACAACTCTCAGCCATCTGGATCTTCGGCGCCGCTCACGCCGAAGCCTAAACCCTTCTCTGGTGGTAAGCCTAATAACAATGGTAAGCCCCAGAACTCTTCGAATTCCGGCCAATCCGGCGGTCAGCGCCCCGCGTTCAACCATCTAGGAGCAGATGGTAAAGTACTTCCCTCCGAACGGGAAAGAAGGATGAAGAACAACCTTTGTCTCTTCTGTGGTGGTAAGCATCAGATTGCTGACTGCAATAAGCGAAAGGCCCGAGAATCGAAGGGCCGCGCTGCCGAGGTTGAAGAAACCCCCGAAGCAACCATTGAGGTTGTTGAAGAGGATTCGGAAAACTAATCCGCAGCTCTTGTTCCCCGGTACGAAACGGGAGCTGCGTTGATCAGGTTCGTACCTCACCTGGGGAGTTATATCTCAACGCGTCCGCTCTTTCTTCCATTGAACGTTCTCTTGTAATTTCATTAACTACTGAATTCTCGTTATCCGATTCGGCCGCGCCGGCCGAACCCATCTTTGCTCTCCTCAAATTTCCTACTCTTGTTGATTCTGGTTCTACTGACTCTTTCATCGATACTCGTTATGTTTCTCAGAACTCTATTCCTACGACCAAAATTTCTCCTGTTAATCTTCGTCTCTTTGATGGTTCATTGTCTTCTAAACCCATTACCGATATGGCGAATATCGCCGTTCGGTTCCCTTCCGGCGAGCTGCTTCTCTTACCCTTTTATGTTACACATTTAGATTCATCTTGTAAAGCAGTACTAGGTTACAGTTTCTTATCCCGCTACAATCCGTTGATTGACTGGGCATCTCGAAACATTACGTTCCGTAACACTTCACACCTTGATTCTCCACAGACGTCTGTGCCTTCTGCTATCAACACTGTTGTTGCAAAGGTCGCTGTTCCGCTACCGGAACCTTCGCCGTCGGTTTCACCGACAATTCTGGAGACCCCTCCTGGGGACTCACCTTGCTCTCGCTCTCGCTCCCGCTCTCGGACTTCACGGGCCAAGCCCCTTTCGTCCAAATTCCCTTTTGAACCCATCTACTCTTACCCTACGGTCTCTCAATTCGCTGCTCAGCTGGAAACTCCCGAGGTAGACATTGCACTTGTCAGTGCTGCAGTCTTCAATAGGGCTTGCAAGGACGCCGGTATGGAACCCATCCTTCTTCGTGCTATCCACTCAGAGGTCGCGGCCCGCGCCGCCGACCGCTCTTCCACCGCTCCTACTGTCCCTCTACTTCCTCCTTCCATCCGAGCCGAGTATGCTGAGTTTGCAGACGTCTTCGACGAGATAGCTGCAGATTCTCTTCCTGAACACAGACCTTACGACTTGAAGATTGACTTGGAAGAAGGCGCTTCGCCGCCTCTCGGCCGTATTTACCCTTTGTCTGAAAAGGAGCTAGTTGCCCTTAAAGACTTTATTGACAAACAGCTGGCTACTGGTGCCATCACCCCATCATCCTCTCCTCACGGCGCTCCGGTCCTTTTTGTCCCGAAGAAAGACGGCAAACTTCGCCTTTGCGTCGATTTCCGTGGACTCAATCGTATCACCAAAAAGGATCGTTACCCACTCCCACTCATATCAGATCTTCTCGACGCTCCGAAAAGAGCTAAAATATACACCAAATTGGATCTCGCTCACGCTTATCATCTAGTCAGAATCGCTGAAGGTGACGAATGGAAAACCACCTTTCGGACCCGCTACGGCTCTTACGAATGGAAGGTCATGCCGTTC